CTTGATATCATGATTACTTAATAAACTTTATACAGTAGTTCAAGTAGATCATCCAAAAGAACTAAGAAACATGTCAAATAGGAACACTGAAACATGTTCTCCACCTGCTGGTGAAAAGAAGCAGCTGCATGAACCCGGTGCAGCTGTGTCCAAATCCAGCCATTTGCAAAATTTCAATCCTGCCCACATATCACTACAGGTTCTTAATCAATTTTGGCCTGTCAAAATGTGGTATGCACAGTGATGTGCACCCCAAAGCTCACCTTCACAGCACCTTTAAGCTAACAAGCATAACTGACAGAAGGCTACAAAATGAAAGCTCAAGTTCAAGGTTCAAGGTTCTTTATTTGTCACATGCATAGTTATACAAGTATAACACACAGTGAAATGTAGCCTGACACGCTCCTCGACATGTGCAAAAATTGGGGGGGGGGGGGGGTGTAGAGGAAGAACATTATATATATATATATATATATATATATATATATATATATATATATATATATATATATATATACACACACACTGGGTGAATGTGCAGTAGTAGCAGCAAGCAGGTGAATTCTGTACATTAATATGAATAGATATCTGACTATTTTACAGGATAGACAATATAAACATATTTAAAATTAAAGGAATTGAAATGTACATTGTGCCTTGGTTTAGAGTTAAACACAGACAAGTTCAGCTGAAGTGGGAGACTTGTTATCATGCAACTTTAAAGACTGCAAAGAAAGGTCTGTGTATTCATTTGGAGGTCAATATATGTAATGCAAGGAAGAAAAAAAATAAAGATTTATTACTTTACCTTTAGATCAGGACGTGTTTTGTTATATTTAATATCTCATTCTACCAGTGGCTCCCAAATCAAGCTTGTTAAAACAGGTTGCTGTGAGGTGGCTGTATGATAGCCTTCTTGCTGAATATATGATATGCTAATTTTGCTTGACTAAATGGTATAAAGCCTAAGAAGTTCTTTTGATGACTGTTTGGCTGAGGGTTGTGTGTGAGCCACACTGTACATGCAAAAGCTACATGAGACATATATTTTTGATGAAATTAAACTATATAAGACAACCCCTTCATTTTATTTATTTATTTATTTATTTTCCAGAATGGCCTTTAGTGAATTCGATCCAATACAGAAATGTGTGCTCATGGTTGGCTGTCAGATAGGCAGATGTGTTATTCAGACTATACACCAAAACATTGTGCATCAGAAAAAAACCCAAAAAACATTTGGTGCAGTTCTCCAAAACAGTCTGAGTTTCTCATGTGGCCCTTTGGGAAAATTAAATGGGCAATATTCAGACTATTTTACCCAGCCGTACATACACTGAACAAAAATATAAACGCAACACTTTTGTTTTTGCTCCCATTCCCCATGGGATGGACGTAGAGACCTAAAATTCATTCCAGATACACAATATAACCATCCCTCACAGTGGTCACAAATCAGTCCAAATGTGTGGTAGTGGGCACATCTGCTATATTGAGATAATCCATCCCACCTCACAGGTGTGCCACATCAGGATGCTGATCTGACATCATGAGTAGTGCACAGGTGTACATCAGACTGCCCACAACAAAAGGCCACCCTGGAATGTGCAGTTTTGTCTCACAGCAAAATGCCACAGATGCCACAAGCAATGAGGGAGCGTGCAATTGGCATGCTGACAGCAGGAATGTCAACCAGATCTGTCGCCCGTGCATTGAATGTTCATTTCTCAATCATAAGCCGTCTCCACAGGCGTTTCAGAGAATATGGCAGCACATCCAACCGGCCTCACAACCGCAGACCTCGTGTAACCACACCAGCCCAGGACCTCCACATCCAGCAGGTTCACCTCCAAGATCGTCTGAGACCAGCCACCCAGACAGCTGCTGGAACAATTGGTTTGCACAACCAAACAATTTCTGCACAAACTGTCAGAAACCGTCTCAGGGACGCTCAACTGCATGCCCGTCGTCCTCATCGGGGTCTTGACCTGACTCCAGCTCGTCGCCGTAACAGACTTGTGTGGGCAAATGCTCACATTCGATGACGTCTGGCACGTTGGAGAGGTGTGCGCTTCACGGATGAATCATGGTTCACATTGTTCAGGGCAGATGGCAGCTGAGAATGTCCCAGTTCTTGCATGGCCAGCATACTCACCGGACATGTCACCCATTGAGCATGTTCGGGATGTGCTTGACCGGCGTATACGACAGCGTGTACCAGTTCCCACGAATATCCAACAACCTCGCACAGCCATTGAAGTGGAGTGGACCAACATTCCACAGGCCACAATTGACAATCTGATAGACTCCATGCGACGATGTGTTGCACTGCATGAGGCAAATGGTGGTCACACCAGATACTGACCGGTTCTGGGTCCCCAGACCCCCAATAGAACAAAAAACTGTAAACTTCCAGGGTGGCCTTTTGTTGTGGGCAGTCTGATGTACACCTGTGCACTACTCATGATGTCAGATCAGCATCCTGATGTGGCACACCTGTGAGGTGGGATGGATTATCTCAATATAGCAGATGTGCCCACTACCACACATTTGGACTGATTTGTGACCACTGTTTGGGAGGGATGGTTATATTGTGTATCTGGAATGAATTTTAGGTCTCTACGTCCATCCCATGGGGAATGGGAGCAAAAACAAAAGTGTTGCGTTTATATTTTTGTTCAGTGTATAATACAATCTCTACTCTTCTTGTTCGCGCTCACCTATGCTGATGTGGACTAAATGTAATGAAGAGGGAAAAGGAGAAGAAAGAGAGAGGTCCTTTTCCATCTGCTGGAGAGGAGCTAAAATAAAAGGTAGCCAAGGAGTACAAAACACATGAGCAGCAGTAATTTATTTACAATAAAACAGGCCCAGGGAATTTAAAAAGCAATAAAAGACAAACAAGAAGCCCCACTTATATATTATATGCACAGGTGTAACAGTCTTGAAACAGATGCTCTAGCACCAACCATCACAGAAATCACACTTTTCACTGGTTCTGTCTCACTGGGAAAGGCCTTCTACAGGGTTCCAACACTGGTTCCACAGACAATTCCAGTCCCATCTTCTTAGTATCCTTCTGACCTATCCATCCTGTTGCTGCTGATGCTCCGCTGTGGCTTGCACTCCTTCTGTACAAGCTCCTTGACTGTCCTCACCTCTTATCTTTATGCAGAGTGAGCAGGTGTGGATAATTTCTTTGAATAGTCACTGGTAGGTACATGTAACAACCTCAAAATAAATGCAAAAAATATACAAACATGCATAAAACTATATTATAAAACCAAACCAACAAAGCACACAGTATAAAAACATGAAAACTACTTCCACCCTGTAACACAAAGATACTGATTTAGTACCTGACAATCTGGCAAGTCAGAAAGAATGAATACATAAAAAACCCTGTCAGTGTCATGCTTTATTTACTGTTCTCAGGTCATAGTTTTCTTTGTTTCTCATTAGTCCATAAACACTAGAAGGCAACAAATTGACTGGATTTCTTTCATTCATCCTAAAATGTGAACTACAATAACAAAAAAGTGTTGGTGACTGTATTTGTTCTGAGGACATTTTTATTTCTGATCATCAGTTTTCTTTTTCACTTGTCCTTTGTTGTGTCTCTGTCTCCTGTTTGCTACATGGTTCGCTCTTCTTCTACTACTGTTAAATATTCTGACACTTTTAATGCATTTTTATTCCCTCAAGATAATGTTGATGTCTCAACAAAATGGGGTATTTTTGTTTTACAAAATATATTTTTTAACAAAAAGTGTGTCTTGTTATAGCCAGGTAAGCTGCTGTTTTGAACTCCTCTCCCTGGATAATTGCCAGTACTTGCTGTTTAATGTATTCTTGCTGAAAAGTTGAGTGCTTGCAGAAATAATATTAATAATGGATTGGATTTATATAGCGCTTTTCAAGGCACTCAAAGCGCTTTACAATGCCACTATTCATTCACTCTCGCATTCACACACTGGTGAAGGCAAGCTACGGTTGTAGCCACAGCTGCCTTGGGGAAGACTGACAGAAGCGAGGCTGCCATATCGCGCCATCAGCCCCTCTGGCCAACACCAGTAGGAGGCAGGGTAAAGGACACAACGACCAGGACAGAGAGCCCAGGGATCGAACTGGCGACCTTCCGGTTACAGATACGCTTCCCAACCCCCTGAGCCAGGATCCAGACATCCAAGACGTCCAAGAAAGGTTCTCCACTATAAAGAACTGGTCATGATTTATGCCTACTGGCTGAAGAAGCTGACTGCACTCCATGAGCATCTGGCAGCACAAATGAACCAACTGCCAGATCCCCAGTATTCCCCCCAAGTATCCCCAGAAAGGACCGGTCTCATCAAACTACCGGCCAGTAATCTCCCTCAGTACCACACTGAAGCTTGTGTCAGGCGTTAAAGGACTGGTGAGTGTCAGAACACCTGTCCAGAATGAGATATCAAACATCCATGAGTGCATCAGGAAGATGGCCCCAACCGACTGCGTGCTTAGTGAATACCTCAGGCAACAGAAAGCAGAGTAAGAAAAGGACCAAGAGGAGGAACCATCATGGAATGAAAGGCCCCTGCACAGTATGTACCACCGGTAGATAGAAGTGGCTGACATCCATAAATCCTACCAGTGGGTGGACAAAGCTGGACTGAAAGACAGCACAGAGGAACTGACCATGGCGGCACAGTAACAAGCTCTAAGTACAAGATCCGTAGAGGCTGGGGTCTACCACACCAGGCAAGACCCAAGATGCAGGCTGCGTAAAGACGAGGTCAAAATAGGACAAACCCCACAGGGTGGGCGAGAATGACCGAGCTAAGATCCTGTGGGACTTCCAGATACAGACAAAAAAACTGGTGATGGCTAACCAACCAAAGATAGTAGAAGTGGACAAGCAGAGGAAGTCGGCTGTAGTAATAGATGTAGTGATTCAGAGAAACAGAGGAAGAAGGAACATGAGCTTGAGAAGTACAAAGGGCTAAAAAAAAGGGCTCGAGAATATGTGGAGGGTGAAGGCAAAAGTAGTCCCAGTGGTAATTGCAGCACTCGGTACAGTGACCCTCAAGCTGGGGGAGTGGCTCCAGCAGATCCCAGGAACAACATCCAAGCTCTCCGTCCAGGACAGCTGAGATACTGCACATGTATATGCTATATATGTTTCTATAGGTATGTGTGCGTGTATATGGACTTTTGGTAATGTTTTGAGATAATTCATTTTAATCTTTTATTTTATTTTAACTTTGTTAAACTTTTAAGAACTTTGTTCTTCTTTTCAGCACTTTGGCTGACATTTGATATCTTTCAAATGTGCTATACAAATAAAGTTGACTTGACTCTATGATATTTATCTTGAAATGTGCTATATTAAATGAAATTGTATTATTATTTAAACATACTAGTATACTGCAATGATGATTACTTTTATTTGTTTTTGTAGGAAACATTTCTTAACTTTCAATTACTTTGGGCTACATTTTACTGCATAAAAAAATGCTTAGACATGTTTTGTTTAAGCATTCTTTATGTTTTCGGGGTGGTACTGTACATCATGACACAGTACAGTAGATTATGTGTGCTGGCACCACTTTATCAAAATCAGGGGACCGAATCAGATAGTCTGGCAGTCCAGTCTCACAGCAGAGTGATCAGAAGTCTAACACAGACTGTGTCAGCTCATGCAGAAATAAAATACAATTGTGCCGACTGATATTATCTCATTAATTTGTCCCTATCACTACTATCATGGTTCATGGGTATGATATCATATAGTGATGTTTTTGATGTTTCATAGAGACAGAAGAATAATCTACAAGAGATAGAAGAAGAAAAAGTGAGCAGTGTGCAACAAGCCTGTTTGGAGCAGTAATCGAAATGCTCAACCAACAAGATATGAAAGGGAAGAAAATATTTAAAATGCATGTATGTGGACTGGATTAATCTTAGTGTATTCATTTTTTATCTAAAAAATAGTAATCTCACTTGTATAGATTAGTTGAGAGAGAATGAAGGGATAAAAAGAAATCCTAGCGATAAAAATAAGACTAAAAAAACAAAACAACAAATAACAAATGATTTTAAGGGATCCTCAGCCCTTCCCATGAGGGTGGCACGGATGCCCCTCCGGTGGTCCTCCTTGGGCTCTCGCACTCTGAGGCCTCTGGATGTCTGGGGCCTGGATCTCCTCCATGCCTGCTTCATGCCCTGGGGGACGGGGCTATGGCTCGCTACATCCTCTTGCAGACCATTACATGTGGAAACCATTTGAATACAAGCGCGCTGATCCACACAGGTGTGCACACGGGTGTTCACTGCTCGTAGACTTAAATTACACCTTTCTTGGCTGCTACTTCAAAGCACATTGTGCGCTGTCTGTCCTGCGTGCTGCACAACAACATTGAATATTTAGTATTTACTGCTGTTTACGCTTAGCTAGATTAATGCGATGGTGTTGTGTTTAGTATGTTGCTTTGGTTTTTTTTTTTTTTTGCTTGTTTTCTATTCTTCTTCTCTCAACAGGTGATCCAGGAGATTTTTTTCTCCCCCCCTTTCTCACTGTCCCTCTCCCCTTCTGTTTTTCTTTTCCTTCCTCTTCTTTCTCCCTTTCCTATCCCTCACTCATGTCTGTCCCGTCTGTAACATCTGAAAATAAAATATAATAAATAATAAAAACAAAGGTCGATCAAATGGACCAATACGGCAAGGCCATGATGATCCGTTTGGCAAAGTAAATCCATTGGGTATCCTTGTTGGTCTTCAGACAACAATTCTGATGGCTAAAGAACCAAATGGGACAGGCAAAAAAACAAACAAAAAAACAAAACAAAAAACCCCCCAAAAACAAATGATTTTAAAAACATTAACAAGGACATATGGTACTGAACAAGAGATTAACAATTAGATTTCAGAGTACAAGCAAAAATATGTTATTTCTAAGAAACGATAAACCTTGGGTGCCAACAAGGTCTATTGCTATGAAAAAAAGTTAACATTGAAGCGGTGTTAATCTTCTTTATGACCATGTGGTTGTCGTCATGCTGGATAAAGAAGATACTGAAGTCTGTCTTGTTGCATTACTAATATGTAAACACAAGACTCATATCATCATTTGAGCAAAAAGAACAAAAAAATCAACCTTAAATGTGCCTGATATGACACCTTATTAGAGAGAATAAAACTCTAAACACACAAGGATCTGGCATCCTTTAACTGGCCTGTTCAGTCAGTGGTTGTGCACAATCTTTGGAGCAAGAGGTGAACATGGACAAACTGTCATCTACAGTTTATGTGTTGATTGTAGCACTTTGTGCATTTCCGCACTTTGGCACTGTTTTTCACGCACATGCTTTGAGAAGAGGTGGCATTTCGACAGGTGAGTTTCCTTTGTCTTTGTTTGCAATCTGTCTACTTATTGATTGTTTCTAAAATCAGGAGAATGCCCATGGCACCTTAATCTTGCTCTGTAATGTATGGGAATGACAACTATTGTAGAGACCAAATATGCTGTAACTATGATGGTGGAAAAGTCTGTGTCCCTCCTGTTTTCAGTACGTGTTACAATGTTTAATGTCTTCTTAAGAGTGTGTGTGAACAATCTCATTAAATAAAAGCACTCGAAGTAGTACAAAAATTACGTTTCTTCTAATAAAAGCCACATTTGCATTTTCGAGAGCTCCTTGTCTAAATGGATGTTCTTGTTTTTTTTTTAAATAGCAAAGCCAGGAGTGTGTCCTGTCAGGTACTACATACATGCAGATTGTACCGAATCTTGCTCTAAAGACAGTGACTGCCACGATAATGAGAAGTGCTGCTCCAACGGATGTGGACATGAGTGCATGGCTCCAGTCATAGGTGAGAAATGAACAAAGTAGCTTTGTATTATATCTAAATATGTAGATTTTTTTCTCATTTGCTTTCTGTTAAGCAACCAATTTGGCAACCACAAATCACAGACTTCACACCTCATTTCCTACAGCTGATCACACTTCTTTCTCACTTTACAGCGTCAAGTCCATATTTTCTGACTGACTTTGTTTTCCTTTCAGTGAAGCCAGGATTTTGTCCTCACAGGCTTCCCGCAGCCCTTGGACCATGTGTTGAGTCTTGCTCGACAGACAGTGACTGCCACGATAGTGAGAAGTGCTGCTCCAACGGATGTGGACATGAGTGCATGGTCCCAGATATAGGTGAAAAAACAACAAAGCAGCAAAGACCACCCCAAAGTGAAAATGACCTACAGGATATCTGTTTATTATATCATCTGTATCATGTATATGAAGAATAAATTGTAAATTTGACTTAAAACTACAGTTTAATCATGATGGTACCTCATCACCAGTATGAGGTACAGTAGCCTCCCACTGGGAAACAGAATCAGGGCAAAACAGAGAGCTAAGAACTTGAACTAAAGATCACTAGGGTGAAAAAAAAGTTAAATAATGAGTCGCAGGGTAGAAATGATTATTGAATCAGACGACAGTGCTGAGTACACATCATCTTAAAAAGACAATAAAATGTTTCATATTTGTCACACACTCTTAGATAAGATTTTGGTTCATTTTTTAATCACAAATCACAGACTTCATACCTCATTTCCTACAGCTGATCACACTTCTTTCTGGCTTTACAGCTTCAAGTCCATATTTCCAAATATCTTTATACTGACTTTGTTTTCCTTTCAGTGAAGCCAGGAGTGTGTCCTCTCGGGCATCCCCCAACCTTTGGACCATGTGTAGAATCTTGCTCTAAAGACAGCGACTGCACTGATAAAAAGAAGTGCTGCTCCAATGGATGTGGACATGAATGCATGGCACCTTACATAGGTGAGAAATGAACAAAGTGACTGTTTACAGCATATCTTTTGTATCACATCATATAAAACAGCTCGACATACACTTTATTTAATCCCACACTGGGGAAATTCAAAAGTTACAGCAGTAACTTAGTTACAGTATTTTTATTTTAAGAAATTTTTAAGAAAAAAGAGAAGATAAAAGATGATGAGTTGTGGATCATGTTGTGAAAAGTAGTTCTTCTTTATGACCATGCGGTTGTTTGGATGCTGCAAACAACCACGTGGTCACTGGGGTTCAATGTTGGGCAAGTTACTTTAAAAAGTAATTAATTATAGTTACTAGTTACTTCTTCAAAAAAGTAACTGAGTTAGTAACTGAGTTACAATATTCTAAAAGTAATTAATTACTTGAAAAGTAACTATTGCGTTACTTTAAAAAAACGTTTAACCCTCTGGGGTCCAGGGTATAATTGGCCATTTTTAACTACTTTGTTTTACCTCGACATTTTACCTTTAAAAACTATTTACTTTGTCTTGTTTGGTATTATTCTTTTTAGCACAACCTCACGTGTCTGAATTTACAGTTATGTTTTTATTTTGACATACTGTATTAACACAACTGATCTAAAATCAGACAAAAACATAAAATCAGAGTAGAAAAGTTATATTTTTTACTGTAACAACCACAAACATGAATCATATCTCATAACTTTAAATGCAAATATAAATTGTCAGTTTTAAAACCCTATACACAAGTTTTGCAAACAACAAAGTTATTTGCATCCATTTACCTTTTACCTTGATTTTTCAAATAACCATTTCAAACTATTTACAGAACAATCAGCTGTTCTGCATTCAATAAGATGCCACACAAATTATTTGTGCCACTCCAAAAAAATAATTTGTTTGTTTTTTTGCTCATAAGCAGAGAGTGCTTGCTAGTGCTGCCCTTAGACCAGGGGTGTCGAACTCCAGGCCTCGAGGGCCGGTGTCCTGCAGGTTTTAGATCTCACCCTGGGTCATCACACCTGAGTTCATTACCAGGCCTCTGGAGAACTGCAAGACATGTTGAGGAGGTCATTTAGCCATTTAAATCAGCTGTGTTGGATCAAGGACACATCTAAAACCTGCAGGACACCGGCCCCCGAGGCCTGGAGTTCGACACCTGTGCCTTAGACAGTAAACGTGACGAAACTATTGAGGAAAAAACGCCGCGTATATATTGTTTATCATGACTCTGGTTTTACGTGGCCCATCGACACAATTTAAAAACTGGTATATATATATATATATATCACCTTGTTGCTTTGTCTTTAAGTGGTCGTGTGATTGGCTCACCACGACTACTTTATTCTTCCTCAGTCAAACAGCAGCACTCATGCAATTGTTTTGCCCCCTTAGCTCCAGGTGTTGTGCTAGACAGTGATTGTGATTACCGTCCGCGGGAGCGCGCGCAGCTGCTTAAAGCTGTAGCGTCCAGATTACTTACGTAGTCAGCTACTTCCGTGCAATTGATATAAAATGCGGTAAGCTGAACACAGCTTCAACCGTCTGCTTGTTGAAAAATAGTAACGGACCGCGTTTTCTTGTTAGTAACTGTAACGGCGTTGTAACGATAGGAATAGTAATTAGTTAGATTACTCGTTACTAAAAAAAGTAACGCCGTTACTAACACCGTTACTTGTAACGCTGTTATTCCCATCACTGCTGGGGTTTAATAGCCTCATGGGATATTTTGCAGAGGGAAAGTGTAACACTCTCTGGTTAAAGTTCTTTGTCTTTAATGTTTTCTTATTTTTTTCAGTGAAGCCGGGAGTGTGTCCTCTCAGACTGTTGGATGACAGAAGGTGTGCTGAATCTTGCTCTAATGACATTGACTGCCCCGATAATGAGAAGTGCTGCTTCAGTGAATGTGGTCGTCATTGCATAGAGCCTTACATGGGTGAGATATGAACAATGATAAGTAGCTAACACTCCCTAAACACTTTTTAAGTGGTTAAAGGCATTTTGTAACAAATCATATTCTCTATTTTGGTGTATCTGTAAAGTCCCCCGAGCGGTGGTCACTTGAGGCCTCCACATGTGTGCCAAGTAGTACTATCATGATGGTCAGGGTGAGGGTGAGCTCTGCTGATTAGAAATCCCTTTTTTCTTTCGTTAACGTTATTAAGACTTTCTGTTTCTGATGATAATCATGTCTCTTACAAAGAAAAAGCGGTCTGTTTGCATTATTTTCTTGTTTTCTTATTTACATCATGCAATCTTACCTTAGTGTAAAAACACTGTATTCAAGAAACAGTGTTTCACAATGAGTAGTATATCTGTTCCACTTCTAATAAAAGAGTTATAGAATGATGCATTGTGTGTTGTTTCTTTATGTAAAACAATATAAATTGCCCCTCACCTGTTGATTTGCTACACATTTGTAATAGGCCTCTGATTTCAAAAGTCTGTGAGGTTCAACAGATCAAATGCAAACGTTTATGATGCTTAAATATTTGTATTTAACATTCAAAATGTAACTAGAATCAGTGCAAAATAAATTTTTGGTAAAGGGCTAAAAAACACACACAGATACAAAAAAAACAGAACCAAAAATAAGATAAAAGTCTGATAGAAACACTGAAACATGTTCTCCACCTGGTGGTGAGGACAATAGGTCATGCATTCAGGCCATGCCCTGTATGCACACTCGCCACACCAGACTCCATTGCTGCCAAGCATGCTGAAGAATGTTTAATGTCTACTGAAAAACATTTTAGACAAGCCTGTGAAATATTGGAAGAAGAATATTCTGTGGTAAGATGAGCCCAAAACAGAAATTTCTGTAGACCATAATACACACCATGGAGTTCAAAAAGCACTGCATTTCACCCCAAACAGTTTGGAGTTGGGAACATCCTAGTGTGGGGCTGTTTTTCATGCTTCCTATAACTAAAGGAAGGATGAATAGAAAAATGTAATGACACATTCTTGATTTTAAGAAAATCTGCTGTCATCTATCAGTAGACGATTTGCCTAAAATCCCACCTGAGCAATGCATGTGACTAGTTTCTCCACACAGGAGGCGTCTTGAAGCTATCATCACCAAGAAAGGCGTTTGCATGAAGTATTAAATACATTTCCAGCAAGGATGCTCCCCTGTGTCATTTCTCATTATTACATGTAATTTATGGACATATATGGGTTGATGTCTTTGCATGTGTGAATTGGATGGGTTGTTGATGACATCGGGTGAGAATTTCATGTCAATAACACCTTTAGAAATGAGTCTTGTTACATGCTCAATTATCCAGGTAAAGAAATCCCCCAAATTTGATTTTATTCATCTGGACGTAACGTTTTCAGTGGGAGAAGCAAATCTACTTGTAAACAGTATGTTTACATAGTGACTGAAAGTTTCTCATTTCAGTCACTCGAAGTCAAGAAGTCAATTGGTTGAATGACGTAACATTTCTCCGACTGAGAATGATACTGTTCATTCTGTCTAGATGAATAAAACCAACTTTTGGGGGCTATTTATTTAGAAAATTGATGACACATTGTCACAAACGGCAGCAAGACTGCCCCCGTGCTCACTTGGTTGGCATCCACCAGGATTGTAAATGCACTATCAAAATATGGAGCTGCTAAAACAGGAGGGAAGCACAACAAAGGCTTTACATTGTCAAACGCTAGCTGACATTGTTGAGATGAAATTATTTCAAGTGCCTTAATTCTATGCTTTATATGAACTAAAATGCCATATAACCATATAGTGTAGTATTAAGTGGACACGGCCCTGAAATAAAGGCATTAGACTACATGTCCTTGGGGCGTAGAATGCTGTAGACTCTCACCTACGCTTGCCTGGGAAAAAGTAGATAACAGGGGACCATCTTCTAGGGGAAAGTTACTGAGACACTGTTGTTTAGACCTGCATATGGCCAATAAAGCATTCATTCATTCATTAATCACTGAAATGCTGCCAGAGCATTTCTTAAACCAAATGGTATGACTTTATGAGAATAAGGAACTAAAGGGGTGGTGAAAGGTGATATTTCCTGTTCCCGTGCCTACAATGGCACCTGCCAATAACCTTTAAGCAAATCAAATTTACTTGAAAATGTGGCCGATCCAACCTGGTCAATACAGTCATCCATTCGTGGGAACAGAAAAGAGTTTGTTACAGAATTGACTTTTAAATCTATACAAAATGTTTTATCTGGCTTTGGCACCAGGATAGATGGAAAAGCAATGTCATTTCAGAGCATAAAAGAAACTTCAGCACCCATTTGTTTAAGCTTTTCCAGTGACCTGCGATAGAATCACTTCTTAACTGGCTGTACATCTCCAACATCAATATCATGTTCAACCCAGTCAGTGCAAAATGGTACATCACCAAACAAACAGGTATACTTTAACCACTAAGAAACAGACAAAACAGGGTGCACAATGTCCTTAACACTCTGACTAGAATTTTGGTCACTTATATGATACAGTTTGAGTTTGTTTATAAGACAAAGCTGAACTGACTTTGTCCAACAAACCAATTTGAGCCTGAACAATAATGCATGAAAGGCAATTCTCTTCATGTATTAATCACCAGGAGATGTGGCATGTCCATTTGACAGCTGGTACTTTCTCACTTTTACTTGAGTAAAGAAGCTTAATCGGTACTTCAACTTTTACTGGAGTAGGTTTTTTTTTTTAACAATAGCATCTGTAATTCTACTTAAGTACAGAATATCTGTACTTTTGCCAACTCTGGTCATGAGATGGTAAGGACTACAGATGAATTTAAAAATAAAAAAAAGAAAGAAAGAAGGAGCACAGGAAAATAGTGAAGTGCCAGGGGTTGAAGGAACAACTGAGCAGATGTGGATGTCACTTATATGATACAGTTTGAGTTTGTTAATAAGACAAAGCTGAACTGACTTTGTCCATTTTGATGTTGAAACTAAATAGTTCAGATCAGAAAGCTTTTCTGACCATATGAAGGTCTGTATATCAGGCCTGAAGTGGAGATCCCACAATTGGAGACGGCACCACAACTTGATCCCCAGGATTAAACTGACGATGTTTTGTGCCACAATCATTCACACTCTTCATTCCAGTCTGTGCCTTTTGCCATAAAACCAACTACAAACAATTGGCGTCTAAATCCATTCACAATGACAGCCAAGGTTTTAAGTGGTTCTGAATCAACCCCATTATCCTTTAATGCAGCCAAGGGTCCATGCGCACTATGTCTGAACACAAGCTCATTAGGGCTCAAGCCTGTGCTCTCCTGGACTGCCTGTGTGTGTAATGTTTATGAGAACTCCTTACTGAAACTGGATGTAAATATTTGACTCTGTTTCTCATCTTAACATAATACCTCTCATAATGCATTCTTGAATGATTTTTTCATCGTTTAGGGGGAACAAAACCGATTGCTTGGTAGACCTGTCTTAAATTGTTTCATTACAGAAGACTGTTCCTTTTCTCAAATACAGGTTATCAGCTTAAAGCATTAATTTTTATCAAAAGCATTAGTTAAAAAATGTACAATCGCTAAAGAAGATAAGTTTTAATAAATGATAAAAAAAATATATATATACACATCTTGCTACTTGGTCCTTTGATCTTAAGAATTTAAAAATATCGTCAATTTCTAATGCATTTTGGCCAAAATCATCCAACATGTAAACACATAGTGCAATAAATTGTAAAGATAACTGTTAGTAACAGTTTCTTATGCTTTTTAAGGTGAGGATTAAGGATCCTTTTTACTGCGCTGTGTTGTATTGTCCTCCCTGACTAATAACAGTTTGTTATGAGTCTTTCCTTTTAAGTCAACGTTTGCGCCCGTTTTTAAACTTTCATCCCTGGATAAATGCCAGTACTCGCTGTTTAAAGTGTTCTTTGAAAAGTTGATCTCTTGTGGAGATCAACTCGTTTACACATCCATCTCCATCCTTTAAAGGAACTTTTGTTTTGTTTTTGTCAGGGCTCTGTGTGCGGGCAGGCGGAGGTGAGGATCCAAATGCAGGACTCGGAGGCTGAATACAACTCAAAAACCTCAGCTTTCTTGCTGGCAGAAAACAAAACGCGAACTGAACAATGAATACTGAGAACAGAAACACACAGGCACAATCTGAGAGTACAACACGACACTGAGCAAAGGCAAACACAGGGCTAATATACACAGGGGAGTAATCAGGGAATGGGAAACAGGAGAGAGACACAGCTGGGAGAGGTTAGGGCTAACGAGACAGGGGAGCGAAGCTGGACACACTGACATAAGACATAATCTTTCAAAATAAAACAGGAACCAATAAACAAAGACGCAGACTAAGAAACATGGACTTTACACGGGCAGAATTAAACCTAACCCAGAATAAGCTGGAACATACTAAATATCATCATCATCACCTGACAATAGATCAAGAAAATAACCAAAAATACAAAATCAAACCAAAACATGAGAACTCAAAATGCTGGGTCAGAACTGACCCAGAACCATGACAGTTTTTTTCATTTTCAGTAATACATGTGAGGGACGCCTATTTTTTTTAAAACCTGGCTTCAAAGAGCAGAGGTAATCCTGAGGTATTATTCAGCAACCTTGGATTATGAACTCCTTCTTAACCAGCTTTAACAGTTCTTTCAAATTAGGCTGTAAAAGCCTTCTTGTTGTTTGTTTATCGTTGTTGTACTCCAGCTTTTTACCTGTTTGGTTACCTGAGTTTTCAGTGTTAGCTGACTGGATGAAAGCATCCTTCTGTTCTCACAAAATTTGACCTGCACCTTTGCTCAAAAATGTGTTTCAGTCTATCTGACTCTGTGTGCTCAATATAATCAAGGATCCACTAGAATCTGCTTGTTTTAAGAATCTTATATATCCACCCACTTAAAAAGAACAAACAAACAAACAAAAAACCATTTAGCTAACCTTAAACATTACCATTTACTTTTAAGAGTTTAGAAAAGGTTACAGCTGTGCAGCATACAGCTGTTTTACACAAATACAGCGTTTGTGAAAATGAGCTCATTTCAGTGAAACAGCTCTTCTCAGTGAAGTTATGAGAGAGTGTTCTGCTTTTCTGACGATGGACCTGACCTCTGCCTTTTATACTAGTGAACACCACATTACTTAAAGTATTATTTATAAGTGTTCATTTGTCTCATCATAAGTACATTTACTTGTTTTTGTTAGGAATGTTTCCCCACTTTTGATCACTTTGGACTATTTCTTATGCCATAAAAGAACTGCTTAAACACTCAAACCTTACATGTAGTACAAACATATTGTGTTTTGGGCTGGTACTGTACATCCTGACAGAGTACAGTAGATTATGTGTGCTGGCACCACTTTATCACAATCAGGGGACCGAATCAGATAGTCTGGCCGTCCAGTCTCCCAGCAGAGTGATCTGAAATCTAATACAGACTAAACTGTGCATCACCTCATGCTCATGCAGAAGGAAAATACAGTTGTGCAGACTCATATTATCTCACTAAGTTGTCCCTATCACGTCTCTCATGGTGAATGGACCTCACACAGTGATGTTTCTGATGTCTCATAGAAACAGACGAATCATCAACAACAGATAGAAGAAGAAAAGTTTGTGCAAGAAATGAAAGAAAAAAAAACCTTAAAACGCATTGATGGTAATGTGATCAAATATAGTGCATTAATTTGTTATCCTAAAAAAACAGCAAAATCACTTAGACTATTAGAGACTGAATGGAATTCTAGTAAGAGGTGAACAAAAACAAGGGATATCTATACAACCCTGAGGAAGAACAAGGAGAAAAAACAACAATAAAAAGACGATAAAGAACACTTTACAGCTAAGGATAATTTTGTTATATGAATGTCATAGTGAGTTGACTCCTCCTTTTCTAAAGGCACATTCTGGTCCTATCTGAACCACAGGAACAGAAAAAATAAAAAATAAAATAAACAAGGATACAAAGCACATAAAGAAACAAAAGATATTGTGATTGTGTTGTCCAGTTCTCTTTCTAAGAACTTTTAAAAATCTTGGTTACCAACAAGGTTCAACAGTATAAAAATAAAGTTAACATTGGGATAAAGTGGTGTTAATTTCTCTATGACTATGTGGTTGTTGTCATGCTGGATAATAAAGATAATGAAAACTGCCTAGTGGTTTGACTAAGATGTAAACACAAAATTTGTATCATCATTTGAGCAACAAGGAACATAAAAAAACTAAATGTGTGTGATATGAAACCTTATCAGACAGAATATAAGACCACAAGCACAGTGATCCATCATCCTTTAACTGGCTGCTCAGTCAGTGGTTGCGGACAGTCTTTTTTTAAAAAAAAAGAGAGGTGAACATGGACAAAAGCTCGTCTACAGTTTGTATATTGATTGCAGCACTTTGTGCATTGGTGCACTTTGGCACGGCTTTTTCTAAGGTGAAACCTAAACCTGACGTTTTAATAAGTGAGTTTCTTTTGAGTATTGTTTCTTTCTGAAATGTGCATGTTTGTCACCTCAGCTGTCACCTGATTTACCACAGCTGATCCATATCCTTTTTTGCCTCACTGCCTCGGGCTACTGTGGCTCAAGAGTTGGCAGTTTGTCCTGTGATCTGATGGTTGCCAGTTCAAGCCCCAGCTCGGACAGTCTTGGTCGTTGTGTACTTGGGCAAGACACTTCACCTGTTGCCTACTGGTGGTGGTCAGAGTGCCCGGTGGTGCCAGCGGCCTCAAGACATTTTGATTGATTTGCTGCAGGGTTCAATAAGATTTTTCAGAGGGACAACCTAACGCACACTCTGGTTAGAGTTCTTGGTCACTTTTGATTTCTCATTTCTTTCAGCAAAGCCAGGAGTGTGTCCTCGCAAATGCTGGGACTTTGGGCTGTGTGTTGAATCTTGCTCCAATGACTATGACTGTCGCGGTAAAGAGAAGTGCTGCCCCAAAGGATGTGGACGTGAGTGCATGGCTCCTGTCGGAGGTGAGAGATGAACAAAGTAGCAAAGATCACTCCAAAGTGAAAATTATCTGCAAGATATTTCATTTATTATATCATCTACAATAGAAAGAAGAGAAAAAGAGTGATTGCAAAGGATGTCTCTACCTGACTTATTTAATTGAACTATAAAAAAACATTTACTTGCAACTTCATGAAACTTGAGAGGTCAAGAGGTCAGTTTTAAATATGTACGTTGTATATACATACGTGTGTGTGTGTGTGTGTGTGTGTGTGTGTGTGTGTGTGTGTGTGTGTGTGTGTGTGTGTGTGTGTGTGTGTGTGTGTGTGTGTGTGTGTGTGTGTACGCACATAGGACAAAAAGTATGAGATGGAGGTCCAGCACTGTGACAATCAGAGCAAAACAGAAAGACACGAATTTGAAGTCAGATAGGGTGAAAAAGAAAATTAAATCTTGAGTCAATAGACAGAAATGTCATTGAGACGACAGGGAAAGAGGATGAGTGAAAAGACGGCTGGAGCTAATTAAGCGTTTAAAGACATATTTGCAATTAACTTGAAGATATTTTTACAAGCAAGTTTATTTTGCCTCAGATATGTTCAGTTTATAATCTGCTGCTTACTGTTTATTACTAAAATGTGCATGTTTGGTTTGTTTTATTAAACAGCCAAACTGGCAATCACACAGCATCAGAACTCTTATCTCATTTACCACTTTACCACAGCTGATCTATGTCCTTTTCTGCTTTAGTGCCTCCTCCCAAACCAGAATGTCCACCGCATCTTAATCTTGCTCTGTCACGTAAGGGGTGTAATGACTGTCCTAGAGACCACACATGCTGCGTCTATAATGGTTATGAAGTCTGCGTCCCTCCTGTTCTCAGTACGTCTCACAATGTTTGATTTCTTCTTAAGAGGCTGTGTATTTAATTAAATCTTTTTAAAATATAAGAAGTAGTTTAAAAATAATATTTAGGCTACATTTACTGCACTCTCTAGTTGGAGTTCTTTGTTTGTACTAATTTATTTTTCCTATCAGCAAAGCCAGGAGTGTGTCCTCGCAGGCACCTGACTGTTGGACTGTGTGGTAAACTTTGCTCCAATGACAGTGACTGTCCCGGTAAACAGAAGTGCTGCTCTACCAAATGTGGACGTAATTGCATGGCACCATACATAGGTGAGAGATGAGCAAAGTATTCTTGCACACTTAACCCATGTGTGACCTCATGAAAAAAGGGACCCGTTTTTTTTAAAAACGCTGGGACTTTGGACTGTGTGTTGAATCTTGCTCTCATGACTATGACTGTCCCGATAACGAGAAGTGCTGCCCCAATGGATGTGGACGTGAGTGCATGGCTCCTGTCGGAGGTGAGAGATGAACAAAGTAGCAAAGATCACTCCAAAGTGAAAATTATCTGCATGATATTTTGTTTATTATATCATCTACAATAGAAAGAAGAGAAAAAGAGTGATTGCAAAGGATGTCTCTACCTGACTTATTTAATTGAACTATAAAAAAACATTTACTTGCAACTTCATGAAACTTGAGAGGTCAAGAGGTCAGTTTTAAATATGTACGTTGTATATACATACATATATGTGTGTGTGTGTGTGTGTGTGTGTGTGTGTGTGTGTGTGTGTACGCACATAGGACAAAAAGTATGAGATGGAGGTCCAGCACTGTGACAATCAGAGCAAAACAGAAAGACACGAATTTGAAGTCAGATAGGGTGAAAAAGAAAATTAAATCTTGAGTCAATAGACAGAAATGTCATTGAGACGACAGGGAAAGAGGATGAGTGAAAAGACGGCTGGAGCTAATTAAGCGTTTAAAGACATATTTGCAATTAACTTGAAGATATTTTAACAAGCAAGTTTATTTTGCCTCAGACATGTTCAGTTTATAATCTGCTGCTTACTGTTTATTACTAAAATGTGCATGTTTGGTTTGTTTCATTAAACAGCCAAACTGGCAATCACACAGCATCAGAACTCTTATCTCATTTACCACTTTACCACAGCTGATCTATGTCCTTTTCTGCTTTAGTGCCTCCTCCCAAACCAGAATGTCCACCGCATCTTAATCTTGCTCTGTCACGTAAGGGGTGTAATGACTGTCCTATAGACCACACATGCTGCGTCTATAATGGTTATGAAGTCTGCGTCCCTCCTGTTCTCAGTACGTCTCACAATGTTTGATTTCTTCTTAAGAGGCTGTGTATTTAATTAAATCTTTTTAAAATATAAGAAGTATTTTAAAAATAATATTTAGGCTACATTTACTGCACTCTCTAGTTGGAGTTCTTTGTTTGTACTAATTTATTTTTCCTATCAGCAAAGCCAGGAGTGTGTCCTCGCAGGCACCTGACTGTTGGACTGTGCGTTGAATTTTGCTCCAATGACAGCGACTGTCCCGGTAAACAGAAGTGCTGCTCTACCAGATGTGGACGTAAATGCATGGCACCATACATAGGTGAGAGATGAGCAAAGTAATCTTGCACACTTAACCCATGTGGGTTAAGACCCAAACGGGTCCCTTTTTTTACGAGGGTCACACATGGGTTAATGAATCAAACTGAGAAAAAAATGAAAAAATAAATAATTTGATATACATTTGCTTGGGACTGCGTGGAACTTGAGAGAGCAAGAGGTGGTTTATTTCCAGGAAAGTTGTGTTACATTTCTTCATGATGACCTGGTTGTTTCGGTACTGCAAACACCCTCATGGTCATTAATTCATTTGAGGGTTTAGTAATCTAATGAGATCATATCTAGAGGGAGAGTTTTTCTTTAATGTTTTCTTATTCTTTTCAGTGAAACCAGGAGTGTGTCCTCACAGACGCTTCGATAACATAATGTGTGGCGAATTTTGCTCTAATGATAGTGACTGCCCCAATAATGAGAAGTGCTGCTTCAGTGGATGTGGTCATCAGTGCATGGCACCTTACACGGGTGAGATATGAACAAAGTACCAAACACTCCCTAAACACTTTTCAAGTGGTTTAAGGAATTGTGTAACTAAGCTTATTCTTGACTTTGGTGTGTCTGTAAAGACTGGTACCTTGTCTGAGGCCTCCACATGTGTGCCGAGTACTACTATCGTGATGGTCAGGGTCCAGGACATCAGACGTGCTGCAGGACAACCTGTGATCACCTGCAGTGAGCTCTGCTGCCAATCTATAAAAAAACATCATTAAACTTACTGTGACCATCTCTGCAAATGAATCCAAAGTGCGATAAGCACTTCCTGTTTCTGATGATAATCATGTCTCTCTGATTTTTTTCAAACTGACATATTTGTCTTACAAATAAAAAACGGTGTGTTGGCATTTTATTCTTGTTCTCTTATTTACAACATGCGAGCTTACTTCAGTGTGAAAATATTGAAGAAACTGTGTTTCACTATGAATAGTATATCTGTTCCATTTCTAATTACATAGTTATAGCATGATGCCTCGTGTGTTTCTTCTTTAAATATATACCAATAAAAATTGCCCCTCACCTGTTGAAATGTAGCAAGAACGGAAAGTGCTTATTGTCAGAGCACAAAATTATCCAGATGGATTATCAAAACATTCTGTTTCTCACTTGTGTCTCAAACTGGATTTTAAAAGCATTCATTCTTTCACAAATCTTTGTAAAAGCAGACTGCATGACTAGGTGCTTAATTTTATGCACCTGCAATAACTGGACTGAAAACCCCTTAATTCAGAAAGAAAGTGGCCCCATACTTTCATCAACATAGTGTACCTGCTTGAAAGTGCTTAAAATTGACACGTCACTAATGTAATGAGTCAACAAATCAAATGCAACACTTTATGACACTCAAGTAATTGTATTTACCTTAAAAAGTGTAACTAAAATTAGTGCAAAAAATGGTAAAGGGCTTCCCCATTTATCTACAATCACTAGAATCACTTGGAAAACAAGTGATTTCCTGCTTTGAAATGTAAGAAAAAGAGAAAAGTTCTTTGAAGTGGGGGTGACCAGATGCCTCTCCAAACCACTGGAACACAGCAAGCCTGCTCCACGAATCACCATTAAACCCCCGACCCAGGGACGGTTTTTGAAAGTGTAACCTGACTATGTGAAAACTAAAGCACTGTTAAAACTTGGATTATAGATTTGACATGAGGACATGACTGTATCTGTACTTTATTCGAGTAGTAAACGTCAGTAAGACAAAGGAGCTGATAGTGGACTTCAGCACTAAGCAGGAGAGGAACTACCAGACCCCCGTCATCAACGAGTGCCCAGTGGAGAGAGTGGACAGCTTCAAATACCTCGGAGTTCACATCACGCAGGACCTGTCATGGTCCTGTCACATCAACACCGTGGTGAAAAAGGGCCGTCAGCGTCTCTACCACCTCAGACGCTTGAGAGACTTCCAACTGCCCTCCAAGGTGCTCAAGAACTTTTACTCGTGCACCATAGAGAGCATCCTGACGGGAAACATCTTAACCTGGTTCGGGAACAGCACCATGCAGGACAGACGAGCTCTACAGAGGGTTGTGCGGTCAGCTGAGCGCACCATCCGCTCCGAGCTCCCTGACCTGCACTCAATCTACAGCAGGCGGTGCTGGACCAAGGCCAGGAAGATCGTGAAGGACCTCAGCCATCCCAACAACAGACTGTTCTCTCTGTTGAGGTCAGGAAAGCGATTCCGCTCCCTGAAGACCAACACAGAGAGACTGAGGAGGAGCTTCTTCCCGCAGGCGATACGGTCTCTCAATCACACCACCACACAGTACTGACCCACACATATAGTTCTTACACACACACTGGACTTTCTGGACATTGTTTTCACTTCATCACTTAAATCACTTTAAGCACATTTGCACTGCACAAGACATAATGTGGATTGCACAACACTGGTCACTATATTCTTCATTACCAGTTGTACAGCTGCTGTTATTGTGTATATATATATACATATTTATATTTCTTCATACATTCTTATATAGTTCTATACTGTGTATTGTGTATTTTGTTGTACAGTTATTTTATTTTCAACTTTAATTTATATATTTATCTTATTCTTTCCCAGTTAAATTTACCCTTCATTCTAATTTGTGTTGTACAGTTATTTCATTTTTAACCTTAATTTTTTATATTTTATTCCTTCCTAGTTAAATTTACCCCTTTTAATTTTACATATTTATTTCCTATCTTATTCATAGCCTTTTCCTTTTCCTTTTCTTTTTCTTTAGGTCACAAGCAGTTGTCTAAGCATTTCACTGCATATCGTACTGTGTATGACTGTGTACGTGACAAATAAAATTTGAATTTGAAATTTGAATTTGAATTTAGTTCTTTCCTGACAATTTTTTGCCTTTTCTCCTTACATTTTCAAAACATGCTTTTTACTTTTGGTTTGATGCATTTGACGGGAGTTATCATTTCCTGTCTTTAAACAACAAACCAATTTGAGCCTGAAAAATAATGCATGAAAGGCAATTCTGTTCATGTATTAATCACCAGGATATGTGGCATGTCCATTTGACAGCTGGTACTTTTTTCACTTTTACTTGAGTGAAGAAGCTTAATCGGTACTTCAACTTTTACTAGAGTAGTTTTTTTTTAGTAGTTTTTTTTTAACAATAGCATCTGTAATTCAACTTAAGTACAGAATATCTGTACTTTTGCCAACTCTGGTCATGAGATGGTAAGGACTACAGATGAATTTAAAAATAAAAAAAGAAAGAAAGAAGGAGCACAGGAAAATAGTGAAGTGCCAGGGGTTGAAGGAACAACTGAGCAGATGTGGATGTCACTTATATGATACAGTTTGAGTTTGTTAATAAGACAAAGCTGAACTGACTTTGTCCATTTTGATGTTGAAACTAAATAGTTCAGATCAGAAAGCTTTTCTGACCATATGAAGGTCTGTATATCAGGCCTGAAATGGAGATCCCACAATTGGAGACGGCACCACAACTTGATCCCCAGGATTAAACTGACGATGTTTTGTGCCACAATCATTCACACTCTTCATTCCAGTCTGTGCCTTTTGCCAGAAAACCAACTACAAACAATTGGCGTCTAAATCCATTCACAATGACAGCCAAGGTTTTAAGTGGTTCTGAATCAACCCCATTATCCTTTAATGCAGCCAAGGGTCCATGCGCACTATGTCTGAACACAAGCTCATTAGGGCTCAAGCCTGTGCTCTCCTGGACTGCCTGTGTGTGTAATGTTTATGAGAACTCCTTACTGAAACTGGATGTAAATATTTGACTCTGTTTCTCATCTTAACATAATACCTCTCATAATGCATTCTTGAATGATTTTTTCATCGTTTAGGGGGAACAAAACCGATTGCTTGGTAGACCTGTCTTAAATTGTTTCATTACAGAAGACTGTTCCTTTTCTTAAATACAGGTTATCAGCTTAAAGCATTAATTTTTATCAAAAGCATTAGTTATTAAAAAAATGTACAGTCGCTAAAGAAGATAAGTTTTAAGAAATTATAAAAAAAAAATCTTGCTACTTGGTCCTTTGATCTTAAGAATTTAAAAATATGGTTAATTTTTTAATGCATTTTGGCCAATGTTTTTTAACATGAGGGATAAGGATCCTTTTTACTGCGCTGTGTTGTATTGTCCTCCCTGACTAATAACAGTTTGTTATGAGTCTTTCCTTTTAAGTCAACGTTTGCGCCCGTTTTTAAACTTTCATCCCTGGATAAATGCCAGTACTCGCTGTTTAAAGTGTTCTTTGAAAAGTTGATCTCTTGTGGAGATCAACTCGTTTACACATCCATCTCCATCCTTTAAAGGAACTTTTGTTTTGTTTTTGTCAGGGCTCTGTGTGCGGGCAGGCGGAGGTGAGGATCCAAATGCAGGACTCGGAGGCTGAATACAACTCAAAAACCTCAGCTTTCTTGCTGGCAGAAAACAAAACGCGAACTGAACAATGAATACTGAGAACAGAAACACACAGGCACAATCTGAGAGTACAACACGACACTGAGCAAAGGCAAACACAGGGCTAATATACACAGGGGAGTAATCAGGGAATGGGAAACAGGAGAGAGACACAGCTGGGAGAGGTTAGGGCTAACGAGACAGGGGAGCGAAGCTGGACACACTGACATAAGACATAATCTTTCAAAATAAAACAGGAACCAATAAACAAAGACGCAGACTAAGAAACATGGACTTTACACGGGCAGAATTAAACCTAACCCAGAATAAGCTGGAACATACTAAATATCATCATCATCACCTGACAATAGATCAAGAAAATAACCAAAAATACAAAATCAAACCAAAACATGAGAACTCAAAATGCTGGGTCAGAACTGACCCAGAACCATGACAGTTTTTTTCAACATTTCAGTAATACATGTGAGGGACGCCTATTTTTTTTAAAACCTGGCTTCAAAGAGCAGAGGTAATCCTGAGGTATTATTCAGCAACCTTACATTATGTACTCCTTCTTAACCAGCTGTATCAATTCTTTCAAATTAGGCTGTAAAAGCCTTCTTGTTGTTTGTTTATCGTTGTTGTACTCCAGCTTTTTACCTGTTTGGTTACCTGAGTTTTCAGTGTTAGCTGACTGGATGAAAGCATCCTTCTGTTCTCACAAAATTTGACCTGCACCTTTGCTCAAAAATGTGTTTCAGTCTATCTGACTCTGTGTGCTCAATATAATCAAGGATCCACTAGAATCTGCTTGTTTTAAGAATCTTATATATCCACTCACTTAAAAAGAACAAACAACAAACAAACAACAAACAAACAAAAAACCATTTAGCTAACCTTAAACAATACCATTTACTTTTAAGAGTTTAGAAAAGGTTACAGCTGTGCAGCGTACAGCTGTTTTACACAAATACAGCGTTTGTGAAAATGTCTGTTGTGTCATTGAGCTCATTTCAGTGAAACAGCTCTTCTCAGTGAAGTGATGAGAGACAGTGTTCTGCTTTTCTGACGATGGACCTGACCTCTGCCTTTTATACTAGTGAACACCACATTACTTAAAGTATTATTTATAAGTGTTCATTTGTCTCATCATAAGTACATTTACTTGTTTTTGTTAGGAATGTTTCCCCACTTTTGATCACTTTGGACTATTTCTTATGCCATAAAAGAACTGCTTAAACACTCAAACCTTACATGTAGTACAAACATATTGTGTTTTGGGCTGGTACTGTACATCCTGACAGAGTACAGTAGATTATGTGTGCTGGCACCACCTTATCACAATCAGGGGACCGAATCAGATAGTCTGGCCGTCCAGTCTCCCAGCAGAGTGATCTGAAATCTAATACAGACTAAACTGTGTATCACCTCATGCTCATGCAGAAGGAAAATACAGTTGTGCAGACTCATATTATCTCACTAAGTTGTCCCTATCACGTCTCTCATGGTGAATGAACCTCACGCAGTGATGTTTCTGATGTCTCATAGAAACAGACGAATCATCAACAACAGATAGAAGAAGAAAAGTTTGTGCAAGAAATGAAAGAAAAAAAATCTTAAAACGCATTGATGGTAATGTGATCAAATATAGTGCATTAATTTGTTATCCTAAAAAAACAGCAAAATCACTTAGACTATTAGAGACTGAATGGAATTCTAGTAAGAGGTGAACAAAAACGAGGGATATCTATACAACCCTGAGGAAGAACAAGGAGAAAAAACAACAATAAAAAGACGATAAAGAACACTTTACAGCTAAGGATAATTTTGTTATATGAATGTCATAGTGAGTTGACTCCTCCTTATCTAAAGGCACATTCTGGTCCTATCTGAACCACAGGAACAGAAAAAATAAAAATAAAATAAACAAGGATACAAAGCACATAAAGAAACAAAAGATATTGTGATTGTGTTGTCCAGTTCTCTTTCTAAGAACTTTTAAAAATCTTGGTTACCAACAAGGTTCAACAGTATAAAAATAAAGTTAACATTGGGATAAAGTGGTGTTAATTTCTCCATGACTATGTGGTTGTTGTCATGCTGGATAATAAAGATAATGAAAACTGCCTAGTGGTTTGACTAAGATGTAAACACAAAATTTGTATCATCATTTGAGCAACAAGGAACATAAAAAAACTAAATGTGTGTGATATGAAACCTTATCAGACAGAATATAAGACCACAAGCACAGTGATCCATCATCCTTTAACTGGCTGCTCAGTCAGTGGTTGCGGACAGTCTTTTTTTAAAAAAAAAAGAGGTGAACATGGACAAAAGCTCGTCTACAGTTTGTATATTGATTGCAGCACTTTGTGCATTGGTGCACTTTGGCACGGCTTTTTCTAGGGTGAAACCTAAACCTGACGTTTTAATAAGTGAGTTTCTTTTGAGTATTGTTTCTTTCTGAAATGTGCATGTTTGTCACCTCAGCTGTCACCTGATTTACCACAGCTGATCCATATCCTTTTTTGCCTCACTGCCTCGGGCTACTGTGGCTCAAGAGTTGGCAGTTTGTCCTGTGATCTGATGGTTGCCGGTTCAAGCCCCAGCTCGGACAGTCTTGGTCGTTGTGTACTTGGGCAAGACACTTCACCTGTTGCCTACTGGTGGTGGTCGTGGTACCAGTGTCCGGCGACCTCAAGACATTTTGATTGATTTGCTGCAGGGTTCAATAAGATTTTTCAGAGGGACAACCTAACGCACACTCTGGTTAGAGTTCTTGGTCACTTTTGATTTCTCATTTCTTTCAGCAAAGCCAGGAGTGTGTCCTCGCAAACGCTGGGACTTTGGACTTTGTGAAGAATTCATTGAATCTTGCTCTCATGACTATGACTGTCCCGATAACGAGAAGTGCTGCCCCAATGGATGTGGAAATGAGTGCATGGCTCCTGTCGGAGGTGAGAGATGAACAAAGTAGCAAAGATCACTCCAAAGTGAAAATTATCTGCAAGATATTTCATTTATTATATCATCTACAATAGAAAGAAGAGAAAAAGAGTGATTGCAAAGGATGTCTCTACCTGACTTATTTAATTGAACTATAAAAAAACATTTACTTGCAACTTCATGAAACTTGAGAGGTCAAGAGGTCAGTTTTAAATATGTACGTTGTATATACATACATATATGTGTGTGTGTGTGTGTGTGCGCGCACACATAGGACAAAAAGTATGAGATGGAGGTCCAGCACTGTGACAATCAGAGCAAAACAGAAAGACACGAATTTGAAGTCAGATAGGGTGAAAAAGAAAATTAAATCTTGAGTCAATAGACAGAAATGTCATTGAGACGACAGGGAAAGAGGATGAGTGAAAAGACGGCTGGAGCTAATTAAGCGTTTAAAGACATATTTGCAATTAACTTGAAGATATTTTAACAAGCAAGTTTATTTTGCCTCAGATATGTTCAGTTTATAATCTGCTGCTTACTGTTTATTACTAAAATGTGCATGTTTGGTTTGTTTTATTAAACAGCCAAACTGGCAATCACACAGCATCAGAACTCTTATCTCATTTACCACTTTACCACAGCTGATCTATGTCCTTTTCTGCTTTAGTGCCTCCTCCCAAACCAGAATGTCCACCGCATCTTAATCTTGCTCTGTCACGTAAGGGGTGTAATGACTGTCCTAGAGACCACACATGCTGCGTCTATAATGGTTATGAAGTCTGCGTCCCTCCTGTTCTCAGTACGTCTCACAATGTTTGATTTCTTCTTAAGAGGCTGTGTATTTAATTAAATCTTTTTAAAATTTTAAAATATAAGAAGTAGTTTAAAAATAATATTTAGGCTACATTTACTGCACTCTCTAGTTGGAGTTCTTTGTTTGTACTAATTTATTTTTCCTATCAGCAAAGCCAGGAGAATGTCCTCGCACGCACCTGACTGTTGGACTGTGTGTTGAATCTTGCTCTAATGACAGTCACTGTCCCGATAACGAGAAGTGCTGCCCCAATGGATGTGGACGTGAGTGCATGGCTCCTGTTGGAGGTGAGAGATAAACAAAGTAGCAAAGATCACTCCAAAGTGAAAATTATCTGCAAGATATTTCGTTTATTATATCATCTACAATAGAAAGAAGAGACAAAGAATGATTGCAAAGGATGTCTCTACCTGACTTATTTAATTGAACTATAAAAAAAACATTTACTTGCAACTTCATGAAACTTGAGAGGTCAAGAGGTCAGTTTTAAATATGTACGTTGTATATACATACATATATGTGTGTGTGTGTGCGCGTGTGTGTGTGTGTGTGTGTGTGTGTGTGTGTGTGTGTGTGTGTGTGTGTGTGTGTGTGTACGCACATAGGACAAAAAGTATGAGATGGAGGTCCAGCACTGTGACAATCAGAGCAAAACAGAAAGACACGAATTTGAAGTCAGATAGGGTGAAAAAGAAAATTAAATCTTGAGTCAATAGACAGAAATGTCATTGAGACGACAGGGAAAGAGGATGAGTGAAAAGACGGCTGGAGCTAATTAAGCGTTTAAAGACATATTTGCAATTAACTTGAAGATATTTTAACAAGCAAGTTTATTTTGCCTCAGACATGTTCAGTTTATAATCTGCTGCTTACTGTTTATTACTAAAATGTGCATATTTGGTTTGTTTTATTAAACAGCCAAACTGGCAATCACACAGCATCAGAACTCTTATCTCATTTACCACTTTACCACAGCTGATCTATGTCCTTTTCTGCTTTAGTGCCTCCTCCCAAACCAGAATGTCCACCGCATCTTAATCTTGCTCTGTCACGTAAGGGGTGTAATGACTGTCCTATAGACCACACATGCTGCGTCTATAATGGTTATGAAGTCTGCGTCCCTCCTGTTCTCAGTACGTCTCACAATGTTTGATTTCTTCTTAAGAGGCTGTGTATTTAATTAAATCTTTTTAAAATATAAGAAGTAGTTTAAAAATAACATTTAGGCTACATTTACTGCACTCTCTAGTTGGAGTTCTTTGTTTGTACTAATTTATTTTTCCTATCAGCAAAGCCAGGAGTGTGTCCTCGCACGCACCTGACTGTTGGACTGTGTGGTGAACTTTGCTCCAATGACAGTGACTGTCCCGGTAATGAGAAGTGCTGCTCTACCAGATGTGGACATGAATGCATGGCACCATACATAGGTGAGAGATGAGCAAAGTATTCTTGCACACTTAACCCATGTGCGACCCTCGTGAAAAAAGGGACCCATGCATTTCACGAAATTTCACGAATGCATGGCACCTATGTATGGTGCCATGCATTCATGTCACACATGGGTTATCTAATGAGATCACATCTAGAGGGAGAGTTTTTCTTTAATGTTTTCTTATTCTTTTCAGTGAAACCAGGAGTGTGTCCTCACAGACGCTTCGATAACATAATGTGTGGTGAATTTTGCTCTAATGATAGTGACTGCCCCGATAATGAGAAGTGCTGCTTCAGTGGATGTGGTCATCAGTGCATGGCGCCTTACACGGGTGAGATATGAACAAAGTACCAAACACTCCCTAAACACTTTTCAAGTGGTTTAAGGAATTGTGTAACTAAGCCTATTCTTGACTTTGGTGTGTCTGTAAAGACTGGGATCTGTACCTTGTCTGAGGCCTCCACATGTGTACCGAGTACTACTATCGTGATGGTCAGGGTCCAGGACATCAGACGTGCTGCAGGACAACCTGTGATTACACCTGCAGTGAGCTCTGCTGCCAATCTATAAAAAAACATCATTAAACTTACTGTGACCATCTCTGCAAATGAATCCAAAGTGCGATAAGCACTTCCTGTTTCTGATGATAATCATGTCTCTCTGATTTTTTTCAAACTGACATATTTGTCTTACAAATAAAAAACGGTGTGTTGGCATTTTATTCTTGTTCTCTTATTTACAACATGTGAGCTTACTTCAGTGTGAAAATATTGAAGAAACAGTGTTTCACTATGAATAGTATATCTGTTCCATTTCTAATTACATAGTTATAGCATGATGCCTCGTGTGTTTCTTCTTTATATATATACCAATAAAAATTGCCCCTCACCTGTTGAAATGTAGCAAGAATGGAAAGTGCTTATTGTCAGAACACAAAATTATCCAGATGGATTATCAAAACATTCTGTTTCTCACTTGTGTCTCAAACTGGATTTTAAAAGCATTCATTCTTTCACAAATCTTTGTAAAAGCAGACTGCATGACTAGGTGCTTAATTTTATGCACCTGCAATAACTGGACTGAAAACCCCTTAATTCAGAAAGAAAGTGTGGCCCCATACTTTCATCAACATAGTGTACCTGCTTGAAAGTGCTTAAAATTGACACGTCACTAATGTAATGAGTCAACAAATCAAATGCAACACTTTATGACACTCAAGTAATTGTATTTACCTTAAAAAGTGTAACTAAAATTAGTGCAAAAAATGGTAGAGGGCTTCCCCATTTATCTACAATCACTAGAATCGCTTGGAAAACAAGTGATTTCCTGCTTTGAAATGTAAGAAAAAGTTCCCTCTAAGCCTGAAGGGAAAAAGAAGAAATACACACATGTAAAGGAAGCTCTTAAAACATGTGATTATCCTAATTGGGCTTTCATCAAGTAAGCAAAGATGCACAGAAAAGAAGATCAGAGACCAACTAGGGAGGATAAGAAAGACAAACGCAACAACATTGTCATCCCCTATGTAACCGTTTTATCAGAAAAACTCAGGAGAGTCTTCTCCAAGCACGACATCACAGTTTACTTCAGACCCAGCAACACACTCAGACAAAAACTGGTTCATCCCAAACACAAAACTCCTAAACACAATCTTAACAATGTAGTATATGCTGTACAGTGTAGTGAGAAATGCCTAGACCTCTACATTGGAGAGACCAAACAGCCACTTCATAAACGCATGTCACAACATAGAAGAGCCACCTCAAGACTCAGCTGTCCATCTACATCTAAAGGACAAAGGCCACTCCTTCGAGGACACCAGTGTTCACATTTGGGACAGAGAAGAAAGATGGTTTGAAAGAGGAGTGAAAGAAGCCATTTATGTCCACTGTGAGCGACCATCTTTGAACAGAGGCGGTGGTTTACGACACCAACTGTCAGACGCCAATACAGTTTTAAGATCACCTCCCAGACGCCTTAACACCCACTCACCTGATGAGAGGTGTAACATCTTCAAGCAACTTAAAGAAGTCCAGACGCTTTTCTTTCCAAGCTCCTTAGCCATATTGTGAAAAATGCAAAACAAATTGAGGTAGACTAAGTATATTAGTTAAAGACTGATATTCCGCTATTTAGCGCAAGATAAACAAGTTAGTTTGCTGTAATGTCACAGGTTTAAAGCCATAGTTCGGTTATATCAACTAGATATAGTTGATATGTGTGACCCCCCTTTTGTGAGTGTGGACGTTTCCTCTCGTTGCTCTTTAAATGCTTTGCTTCTTTTATTGTTTTTTATCGATTTTTATGCTTATTTTTTCCCTTTTTTCCATATGAGCTTACCTGCGATAGCTTCTGGACACTTATAGATCATTAGGACTAAAGCGTTCTTAACAGAAACAGCAACATTTTTATAGTTACCGTATCTTCAGCGCTCCGTGTGTCTGTGGCCTACACACAGCTAAAGCCTGATTACAGCGTCTGGTCACCGAACAGCCTCAATAGCCTGGAAAGGTGCTAACCGCTAGGCTAACTAGCAACAAGATGCCTTCCCTCTACACAGATGACTACCACAGCCTCCTGCAGAAGATTGCAGTACTGGAGACAAAAATTCATCGCTTAGAAGTAAACGTGGAGGTAAATGGACTGTGTGGAGATGAAACAACCTTGCTTTTGATTCAAAACAATGGCGATGAGCAAGCTAGTACACAGCTAAGGAGCACAGATAACATGACCAAGAAAGTAGACTCTGTGCATTATAAAAAATCCTCAAGCAATAATCCCCCCTTGGACTGTCTTGGTGCAAAACCAAGACATAAATCATGTCTCCTGGAAGGGGGAGGACGTATCACAGGCAGGGCACAGCGAGCTGAAATCTCTGAAACCGACTGGCCTTCACTTCCTACGAGACAGAAGCTCTTCTACCCCTGTATACGGGAGGAAACAGGACTGGACAACCGTGAATAGGAAGGTTAACAACAAACCTCCAAAACAACTGAATGTGAAACTGCAGAACAGATTTGCTCCACTATCAAAGGACCCTGGATCTATATCGGACAACCATCCATCTAAAAGTAGCGAAGTAAGGTCTGAAAATCTGTTGAAAAGTAAAAGGCCACAGGGAAAGCTAAAGGCTAGGCCTGAAACTCTGATTGTGGGTGACTCTGCCGTAAAGGATGTACAAAGGATGTGCGGTAAGAACACTAAAGTCCTCTGCTTTCCTAAGGATATGGTCAACAACCTGAAGGAGAGAATTCTTCAAATTGCAGATGAATATCCAACTGTGACAAACATTGTTCTGCATACAGGGTCAAACAATGTGTCCAAACAACAGACGGAGGTTCTGAAACCGGACTTTACTGGATTATTAAATACAGTAAACTCTCTGAATGCAGCTGTATTCATCAGTGGACCTTGTCAGGTTTATATTGTTGATTGTCATTTATGCTTAGAGTTTTATAATCAATGTCATGTTGGTAGAGGTTTGATCCTTAGTAGTCTGTGGAGACTCTGTGTGCCTCCCAGATCACTCTGGCATGCAAACACAACTTAAGGTCAGGAGAGAGGTTATATCTGCTTTGTTACGTCCCCACAGAAAAGCCAGGCGAAGAGGGTGGGGGACAGTAACAGTTGGATCCGGGTTGAAATGAAAAGAACGCCAGGCAGAGGTAGTTACCACAAAATATATCTTTATCATAATCAATTAATTCAAAAGAACTTTGCCTACTCGTGTCTTGCTTTTGCTGTGTAGTAAATTGTCTTGAACGTTCCAGCGAATAGGTTTAAGCTACAAACCTATCAGACCTGTACCGCTCGTCAGAGGAGGAGACGAGCGATTCGGCAGGTTGTTTGCACTGAATAAATGGCTT